AATAAACATCTACTGCGCTGCATTAATTTTACTCTCCCTGGTTACACATCTGTCAACTAATTAAATACATGACGGGAACCGTTCAGTTTTTAAAACTAAGCTCTTAATATGGCAATCGTTATGGCAATTACCTATTATTTTGTATTGTCAAAACATTAGTTAAAGCTCTCCGATTTTATCTCTATTTTTAACCTTTTGTTAGTTTCTTATTAAACTTAGAACTAATTTAATAATTACAGATTTGAAGACTACAGAAAAAATGGCCTAAGTCGCCATTTTGAAAAAAATATTTCATAAAGATTTTCTTGATAATTGCTCCTATTATTAATATAAATGAATAGGTCTAAATAGGAATAACTCACCGATATATGTACGCACGATAACTTGTTATGTATATGAAACCGACTTTCTAAAAACATTACATATATTTGTGCATTATTTCCAAAGCCCGTATTAATAAAGAGCTCCGAAGTTCTGTATTAATAAAATATAATCATTGGCACCTTTTCAAGTGACCAAAATCCTGCCTTTGATTGGTTAAGGCTTAAATCGTTATTAATTTATACGTAAGCGGATTTTTCACAAGTCTGAAACAATGCTATAGTTATCGTTGATGTCCACTCCAGAGTCAACAAACTCTACGCCTTAGATGAATTTATTAATACGGGTCTACATTTTAATACAGTAACTTAGAACATTTTAAATTGTAATCTTCATTTTTAATGTCAATTGTGATTTTCTATCAAAATATCTGATCTCTCTTAGTATTACAGTATATGAAGACATGTCAATAAATAATTTCGAAATTTAGACATAGTTATTAATCGTAAACCTGTTGCCAGTCCAACAACATTCTAAATTCACTATAGGAACCCAAACTTCAGTTCAAGATCTTCCAGTCGATCTTTGAGAGGTGTCACAAGCTACCTTTGAAGTACATAAGCTCTCGTGTTTATAGCAACACGAGTAGCAAGCCTATAAAAAATTTCTTAATATAACATTAATTGCATGGCCTTATTTATACCTGAGTGAACATTAATGAAAAACCGTCAAAGTAGAAAAGCAATATTTATGTAAGACTCAGTGTAACAGAAAAGAAATATTAAGATTGAAAGTAAATTCTATGTTTTTCGTCAATTCATAAATAGAATACCTAGCTTATAATAAATAACAATAAATAAAATCTTAAGTCACTGTTTCAAGTACCAAGATCACAATTCCAACATGCTCTGTGTCCAGCGAAAGAAAGCGGAATGTCTACTTACAGACCAAGAAGTTGAGAAACCGAATACTGTTTACATCAGGAAGACAAATTCCAAGATATTCAATTTTCTCTAACAAAATAGACGTTACTTACACCTAGTAATGTTTATACAGTAACTTAAAAACCATAAGCGCATACATTTAAGTATTTCTGCATTGTGCAGAATAACAATATCGACACAATTTACATATATCCGTAGTTAGTTACTAAATAATATGCAAATTGCTGAAATGTCTTACAAAACTACTTAATAAATACATTCCATTGAAGGCAATAAGTCAAGGTCGTCGATTTCATAGGTAAAGAGAAAGAATTTATTAGTTGTGATCGTATTTACAACATGTTTTTCACATTTCTATTTACACTGGCCATTATTTACAGAGTATGGGCACGTCCCGCGCGCGGCAACAGTCATTGGATCACACTGCCAACGTTAAGTCCACAGAAACCTATCCCCGAACCACTTAATCAGCGGTATCGATAGGAGGAAGGCAGAACATAATCGCCAAAGGAATATAATGCGTTGGCGTACCAATGCACACCTCTAGGCGTTTCCGTCGATCCCCAACCTGACATCCATCGCAGCGGGGCCATTGCGGCGTGCGCAAGCGCATGGCTTTTCACAATAGCGTAGCAAGACGCGAGCGCATCATCTACTATAATAGTTCCTGTTTGCGTTAACGGCGCAAACACTCCGTGGCGAGCCACCATTCTCTTTTTTACCACTCGTGACGGACGCATGACACTTCCTGGTCCTCTCGTCAGAAGTACGTCTCCGATTTCTACATCGGCTGCGAAGACCTCCCGCCAGCCATCTGCGGCGGCGAGCAGTAGCAAGTGTGATGGCGTTGTCGTGATTGTCACACCATTCTCTGCGGTCACCTGCATAAAGTGCCGCGTCGCGTTCGGATCCCGGTCGATGAAGTTTATCACCTGGAATTTATCATTTTCGATGTTAGTTGTCATCAATACGCTAATTACGGAATAATTTTTTGGGAAATTCATACATTGAACATATATTTTCAAATCAAATCAAATCAAATCATTTATTGTGTACGCACGTCTATAAGGTCTTATTTAACATTGTTGTGTCAGTACGTATTGCCAATTTTACGGTATACAATTTAGATAAAAATAAACTTTAAAGCACAAAAGACAAAAACGGACATTTTCTCCCATCCCTTATATTTGAATTATCCTGTTCCTGGCGTGCACGCGGTTCTGATTAACTGCAAATCAGACCAAGCAATACTGCTCTAAATCTACTGATCTATATATATAGTTATAATGGCTTCGAAGGTCTATAATAGAATAGAATAGAAACCATTTATTACATAACGCCACAACACAATTATAAACAGTAAGAAATAAAAAAAAGACAAAGCTAAATAAAAATAAAAATAAAATAGAATAACAAAACAAACAAAAAAATTAAATAAATGAATTAAAAATAAAATCTTAGTAATAGGTAGTGAAATGACCACAAATATAGTCAACACTATTGTGTGCTAAGTAAATGTCATGTGTGCGGCTGTGGCGTATGTAGAAGGATCCACTCAGCTAATGTCACCACCGAGAAAAGGCTGTGACGCTGATTTCCAAATGGACCCCAATAAACTTGCGATTGGAAAAAAAATGCAATAATGCTACAGAGTTTAAGACAATGTATGTAATTAAGTACCTAAATGAAATGTTAATGAAAATTTAATTACATTTTACTTACATATGTTGACTATAGGATTAGTAAAAATTTAAAATACAGGATTACTAATATTACTTTATAGAATTTTATTATATGGTTTATGATATGCAATAACGTGTCGACCAACATGATCATAGTTTTGCGAAAATGGCACTTAATTTTTTTTCCTTGTTTTTGATAGGTTGTTCCAAAATTTAATTGTAAAATAAAAACTTTTGCTGTAGTGCTTGTAATTGAGGAATTATATTAATAAATCGGAAAAATTCATCATTCCTGAGGTGACAACAGCAAAAGTTTTTATTTTACAAGTAAATTTTAGAGCAAAAAAGCAGAGAAAAATATTTTGGTGCCATTTTTCGCAAAAGTATGATCATGTTGGTTGACACGTTATTGCTTATCACCATCCATATAGTGCATTTATACAATCTTTACAATGTAAATATTTTTTACAGTTTTTAAATTTTTTACTGCTTGCAGAGGAAATACATGAGCATAGCGTCCTGAACAAAGTGCCCAGTAGGATCCACAATTGGTTCTCATAGCTATGAGTTTTCATCTTTATATATTTACAATGTGGAATGCAATAAAATTACTGATTACTGGAACAACATTCTACAATATCAGAGACTTTGTTTAAAATTGACATTATATATTGTTTATGTTCGTTTTAGTTTATGAGATTTTGTTATTTTATTACATGGCATCACTGACTTACAAATAAATGGACGACGGGTCTAATACAAAAACCACGAAAAAAAAGTCCCAAGTCAACCTATTTAAACGTAGTGACATCTAAAGGAATATGAAAAAGCTAAAACGTTAGATTTAAATTGTAATGTCATCGCAGTACTGTCTAATTTTGCTTGCTTCGCTTTCAGTCGAACAAATGAAGATTACAGCGTGAATGAAGCTCTGTATACGATTTTAACGCCCTATAAGTTCGGACACTTTTTAGCGCGGACCCGACGTCCATATAATTGTAAGTCAATGCATGGCATGAATATACTCGTATACAAATTATATATATGAGTGTGTATATAAAAAGATATGAAACTTTGTGACACCTTTTGTAACCAGTGTATCACAAAGAAATAGATGAATTTGAACTCAAATATATGTATTCTTGATAACGACTTCAATTGCCTGCTAAAACAAGATAATTTCTATACTATACTCATAACCTTACTTATTTGTCATTTACTATAACGTGACAATCAATAACAGACAGTCCATATTCTTTGTAAATTTAAATTGAAATTCTGCCAATATATATAGATTTTAAGACTTTCGTGGTTATTCACTAAATGATTATCACTAGTAACAGGTTTCTTACCACGGTATAACTTCTTTTTATTTTCCCGATATTTCGGAACGGTTGCACGCTCCATGGTCACGGGTTGAGCGGTTGCACGCTCCATGGTCACGGGTTGAGCAGTCAACCCGTGACCATGGAGCGTGCAACCGTTCCGAAATATCGGGAAAATAAAAAGAAGTTATACCGTGGTAAGAAACCTGTTACTAGTGATAATCATCTGCCAATATATTTCAATTTAAAGCTAGAATTTTTTGAACAATGACTGTAATAATCATATGTCACACAATCATATCAATTGCCTAACCTCAAACTGGGAAAGCTAGGCGCTGGGACACGGAGGGCATTACACAGCAAGCACTAAATTAATAAAAAAAAACCAAGCCTATTCTAATAACTAAGTTGCTGATAGAGGCTAGTCCTCTACAGCACAGCAGCAGTGTAAGGAGATGATGGGGTATTCGTTGTTCCTCTTTCGATCAACTGGAAAGTCCAGAACACTCCGTCCTAAATCATTACAAGACAGGCAGTCCGGTAAGAACGTGGCCAAATTTTAATGTGTGTCTACAAAGCCGCTTGACTTTTGTAATTTAATTGTTGGAATGAATTAATTTGTTTATATTATATTCACTGTTTTGGACATTAATAATTAATCTGACATTCTTGAATACTAACGATATTATAAACATAATTAATATTTTAAATATATTTTCTTTTATTTTTTTTCTTTTCATTTTTATATTGTCAATACCGGTAATTATGTTTGTATTATAATAATATTCATATACCAAATATACTTTCAATATGTTTGTAAGCCAAATGTTTGGCCGGACACAGTGAAACTATACCTACTCATTTTGTACATGTCGACTTACATATCTAATCTGTGTTTTCACAAATAAATGAATTATTATTATTATTATTATTATTACCATTTATAAAAAAAAATATATAGTGTATAAGAAGATACAAACTTTATTGTGTAACTTGCTTATTTGTTATTGTATAGATAAGTAATTAAGCATTTTTTTACCTGTGTAATTGTAATTAAGTTAGTTTTTGTGTAACGTGATAAGATATTAGTATTATTTAAGTATTCAAGTATATTATCGTGAAATATTAAATAAGATTTCAGGATACTCATTCGAATATTAAATAATACTTCATGATAATATTGTAGAACATTCAAATAATAAAAACGGAATTAGGTACAGAAAATTAACACGAAAATTACCTAAATAAAAAATCACTATACTCACCTCTGAATAGACGAGTTTGCCGGTATCGTCCGCAGCCAAGACCCGGTCACCCTTTTGCACGAGGGCGATGTCTCGTGTCCCGTTTTCCGTGTGCACCAAGGCGCCTGAGGGGAAGCACCCGGCGCCCGTGCCGACCGAAGATTCTGAAATTCATACATTGAAGAGATTAAGAACACATTCTGCTTGTGGTTCATTTTTCGGTCATCCTCGGACTAGTGTTGCTCACTACCTAATTTCCGAGGCAATTTTTATTATTTAAGTATTCGGTTTTTTCATCGTGCAATGTTATTTAATATTCGAAAATTGTATCGTGTAATATTATTTCATAATTACACGATAATATACTTGAATATTTAAATAATAAAAATTGCTACGGAAATTAGGTGGTAGAGAATACTAGTTCGAAAATGATCGTTTTATTCACAAATTCATCACCACACATCTTACCCTACTTGTTTTATTGGTAAACGAATCCAAGGCAAATCAATTTATGTAAAACTCATTCAAGAAACATCAGCCGTAACATTACTGTACGAAGAAATCATGCATCAAACGAATGTAATACTTGCGTGCCGTACGTACATAAGTCAGGACGAACGCAATAAAATAAAGAGGAGAACATAAAATCGTGCAAGAGACGATAGTAAATTAGCTCGGAGTCATATCCCTTTAAGGTATAACGAGATTTCTCTACGCTCGTAATTAAAATCCGATAAGATACGAAACAAAAGAGAATCGCAGGCGCTTTCACGTTGAGCCTCGACTAATCGGTGGCGGCGCGCACGCACACCCGCGACTCGCTTTGTACCTGCCCACACCACCCCGAACCCAGTTCCAACGCCTAAGGCAATCGCTAATAATCGCTTCACTCCGTAACCCAGAGATAAGTCCTACAGAAAACCGAATAGAAATTTTCCACGAAAAGCTGCTTCCATAAACGTGAGCAAATTTTTTATCCAATAAACAATTTCTGATCCGTTTACGTGAATTCCATAAGTCATTGTTTATTCTAAAAAGTCGATGACGAAATAAAGGACGGACCGAACCTAACTCCCTGGACTTGTTTGTTTATTATCTAATAGTATTTATTTAAATCCTTATCCCGCTTAAACTGTACCTGGTCGTAATCTGGAGATCCCCGAAACGGTTGCAAAAAGTGCTTATTTATACGTGCGACTAAATGACGGCTACAGGATAAAGTCGAAATGTCTATTCCGTAAGCTGCACCTTGGTTTACCGCCTGCACCTCAAAAGATATTGGATTTATACTTGGGTGCCCGAAACCACTGTTTCATTACAATTGTGTACAAAGTGGGTGCAATTACACGCGTAAGTGGGTACGAGAAGGCTGTTCGCGATTTGCGCGAGCTCGTTAAATTTTTATTTATTGTGTAACCAACCGACTCGGAGCCAAGCAAAACGCGCACAAAGCGATGCCCCCGCCTGATCGCATTACACAATAACCACACAAATTAGATTTCGTTCAAAGTCAAGCGCTCATTGTCCAAGTTTGTTTGTTGTTGGCTGAACACATCACACGAATCATTGAATAGGTGTCGGCCACCTTTGCGACTTTTTTTGCACATCGTCTGCGATTTATCTCTCTGATAAATGTGGTATTTAATGGTACAATGATGGGTAACGTTTCCGGCCACTTTTGCGAGTTAACGAGTTTCCCCATACATTTATAAATATGCTATATATAAAAAAGAGGAAAAAAAAAAGTTATGTAGAAACTTAAAATCAAATAGTACGTTTTCAATAGACACTAAAATATTCCTGTTTACAAAGTCAAATGTGAAGAATCGACGTGGTAGCCTTGAAATGAGTTAAAAGTCCGATTTCACAGTGACGTCAGCAACGTTGGGCTGAAGATGCTGCGATAAGCGGCTCGGCGGGGCGCGGGCGGAGGACCGGGGGGCGCGGGCGGCGCGGGCGCAGCGCAGCGCGAGTGGCCGCGCAGACCCCGCCCCGCGGGGACCACCGGGAGAGCTAGGCGGCGACGCGCTGCCCCCCGACACACGCTTACCACTTGCCTCTACTCTCGACATTACCTCGACAAATGTACACACGTGACACTATTCATAATTCATCTCGTGAATGGATGATACGTCATGACGGTGACGTTCGTCCTTTTATCATTTGGTATGAAAATATTAATAAGATAACTTTGTGAATTCGAATTGTTTTCGCGATTTACAAATCTTAGATGAATTTCAATTAGGGCGGGACAGTGGGTGTGTCTAACTAAACAAGAATTAATTAAAAGTTTATTTATTGTTTCAACTTTGACCTTATTAATGTTAGCAATTTCAACCTAAACTTTTTAAAGGCATAAATCTAGTTATATCGATTATGTAGTGTTAAAGAAAACCTGTTCGGTTTAATAAACAATAACTATGTAATATGTGCCTATGAGTATATGACAAAAACATTGGTCTGTGGTAAAGTGCATGAGAAACACATTTATATCGTGAGGAATTGCGATTAGCTCGCGGAATGCGCGCACGCGTACAATGCAAATGTAGTTTCGTGAAGGTTCACTCTATCCTCCTCAATAATAAAACTAGATGGACAGATATGAAGACGCAGGACCGGAAGGAATGGGATACATAGAAGAGACCTATTCCTGTTATCCACCGTTAATCCGGCTCGCAGGACCAAAAAAAAAAAATGTAGGCGCTATTCTACATTCACTGATATACGTGACAATGATAATATGATACGATAAAGCAGCCTTAATGAGTGCGACGAACACTAAATTTATTGTAAAAGAAATATAATGTTTACGACCTCTATTAATAACAAATATGTACGATGTACTCATATAGATGTATAGCGATTGAAAAACAAAAAGAACGGGAAGATGATTTTATAATCTCGATATTAGCAATTAACATTACGCTAACTGTTCAATAGAGTCTATAAAAGGGCTTTCAAACAAGCTAGTTAGATCATAAAATCTTTGAATACTCTTTGCATTGTTTTCGAATTTTGGAATTTAATTTAAATGGAGTGAATAATTTTTCATTAAAAACTCAAAATCGATAAAATTCAAGTTTGCGCGTGGTGTTAATTGCTAGTGTCAATCTGCTAACCTGCAATAACTGCAAAGTTTAAAATATAACTGTATTTATTTTAATTAATCGAGCCATATGGTAAACGTACCACGTCAAAGTGCTTTTATCACATGATAATCATAAAAATAATAAGAACCATTTTTATGACGGTATATTATATATTATGTAACTAAATGCGCAACCAGACAGGTTGTTGCCTGTCCGAAAGTAACCCACACCTCGCTTCGAACCCCTGAGCGACACTTCACAAAATTATTCATTTCAGTATTGTATAAAAATATTATAATTTAGGTTCATTTTTAACCGACTTCAAAAAAAGAAGGAGGTTCATAATTCGATTGTATTTTTTTTGTACGCATTTACTCCAGCATTTGAGAACCGATTTTGATGATTCTTTTTTTGTTGGAAAGAAGGCACCCCAGCATTGGTCTTATTTAAATTTGAAGGAAATATTCCACCTGTAAGGGTGTCAAATTAGGGGATGGATTCGTTTTCGCGAACTTTCTGGTAACCGATTTCAATAAAACTTGGCATATAGATGTAATACCACGACCTTTTGACGTCGGTTATTTATAAAAAAATTGTAATATTGATATAGTGTTATTTGCATATTATAAGTATTTCATTTATCTATATTTATATGCACACTTTCTATTATGTCGGTTTTCTTCTGTTTACTCATTTATTGTTGTCAGTGGCTCAATCAATTAAAAAAAAACCGATTGTGGCTAAAAATGAGCACGTCTCAGTTGGTTGTACCAGTCGCGACATGCATGATAGTAAAATTGCGTGTCTATACTTGTGCAATAAACAGTTTTTTATAATTTCATAAACCATATCACAAAGGAGCTCTTGTGTTTATTTGTGAATCAAAATTCTATTGTCTATGATAACTCCGCACTGAACTGAAAACTTTCAAAAAAATAACGTCGTATTTTTGCAAATTAAATCAAATAAAATATGAATTAAATTAACTCAAATGCTCTACTGCCACTTAATTTGTTAAATTGGCCTAAAGGTTTTGCAACAGTGTCATAAACCTTTATGAAAAAAATGTTTGGTTAGAATTTAGGCGGCCCTTGGCCACCTAGGTTCTATCTTTCTGTTTTTTTTTGTCTCAATATATAATGAGGCTGTAGGTTGGCACCTTTGCTTCCCCAAACGAATGGGTGAAAATTTATTTAAAAAATTGTTGTCATGAATTCTTAACAAAACATAATTGGTTGTCGAGTTCTTAGGATTTCGCGATTGTTACGTGTAGGAAATGAAACAATTTTTCCGGATTTAAATCGCGTATATTTGTTTTTTCAAACAAACAAAAAAAAAGACGTTTCGGGCCCTTTACAGGTCCCATGGTCACGGTTCACGTCGAAACGTCGGTTTGTTTGAAAAATATACGCGATTTAAATCCGGAAAAATAGTTTCATTTCCTACAATTGGTTGTGTTTAATTAGTTTATTTACTTGGAGAAAAAGTATTGTATGCAATTATTACATAATTAGGTGTTACAATCTCGTACCTAGGTATTCCTTAGGCACTTGACTTCATTGGGCAACGATTGCACAAAATACTATGCTTTCTTTCTTTCTTTAAAAACTACATGAAACAAATTGTGTATATATGTGAAATTTTATAACTCTCCATTTGTTTATTAAAGTTATCAACTAATTTCGATTACAGAATCTTTAATTGTCATTCCTGAAAGTAGTAATGTTTCCAGAGGTGGCCTGACCAAAGTGCAAATTATTCTAATAAATCTTCTACGTGTTTATTTCCAGCTAGACACTCGATACCTTTCACTACATTAGCATATACACATCCATATCGGCTTAAATTGATTCATTATGCAGATAAATGCGATTCAATATGATCTAATGACTTGAATCGATAAATAACCACGAATACATGTAATATTTATATATGCTCAGGATTACCATACGAAAACGACGCATTAGTTACTATATACGACACTGAATATTATAAATGATACCAAAGTTTGAGTAACTGTAATTTACTTACGCTACGATAGAGAAATAAAAAGTTATTTAGTTTAAAGTTATCTC